CCCCTCATTCCCGCCTTAATTGTAGGGCTCTGCATAGTGCGCGCGAGACGGCGGCGCGCCGAGGGGGTGGGGGCGCAGTCGGGGAGGCGCGCGTCGAAGGCAGTAAATGAGGAGGGGTGCGCGAGTCGGCAGGCTCGGGGTTCCGGCTCCCGCCAAGAGCTGTCTTTTGCAAACTAGCAAGTTCCTTCCACCTTATGCAACCCAGCAACCCACTTCTCCAAGCCATGCGACACTCAGGGCGCATCTCAGCGGCTTTCCTTCCTGCTCCCGCTGGGGGCCCCAGAAGAGGGGTTTGCGAGGCCTGGCTGCACTGCCCTGCTCCACTGGAGGCAGAAGGAAGCGCGCGGCTGGAGGCACAGGCTGCAGTTCCCAGGGCCCAGGCTGACGCCGAAGTGGGAAAAAGGCGGGGAAGCCAGCTTGGCGCAGCCGGACGTGCATCCTTCCGAGCTACCACTTCGGGAAAGCCTTTCGTGCACCTCACCTGAAAGACGGTCCCACTCGAGGTGGGCTAGGGGTTTCAGGGGGAGACTTTCCATGCAGAGGTGCCTTTTGGGTGCCGTGGGGCAGGTAGGAGCTGTCCTTTCAGCACCCGTTGCGCAGCCGCCTCCCCAAATACTATCCAAGCCCCCACCCCCAACGCCTGTCGGGTGGCTCTCTTAAGGTCCCTGTATTCCCAAACCTCCAGACCCTGTCACAGTATGGTGGAGAGCGGCCGCCGAGGTCTACCAGCACTCCCCTCCCCCTACAACTCTACCCCCCTCGGAGACATCTAGCCCAGCTGCCCCCACCCGACGCGGCCACCAAGCCTGGGCACTGCAGCCGCAGCTGGCGAAATCCCTCCTTCCACACTGTCAAGCTGGCTGCCTTTCACTTGCGCGAGGAAAAGGAGGGTGGAGGAAAGCGCCCGGGAATTAGGAAACAAGTAGAGGAACAGGTGGTGTGATGGCAAAAGGGCTCTTCCAGTGCCTCCTAGTCCAAAGCCAGGGTCTTGGAGCTAGCCAAGTGCACCTGAGGGAGGGTAGGCAATTGCAGCAGCAAAACAAGGTGTTCTTCCGTTGCAGTTAGCAAACAAGTTTTACATCTAAGAATCTTTAAAAATTCTATTTGAAACCCAGAACACAATACGATATATGTCCTCAAATGGGGGCTTCGCTTACAGGTGGAAGGACACTAAATTGGTCCCATCTGATTTCTTGAGGCAACGGTTGAACCTGGCTTGTACAAATCATACATGTCCAAAGCAACCAGGAGTTCAACTGTTTTGCAGCCCTTGCTGCTGGGCGACGACGACGACCTCTCTGCCTCTTCTTTCCACCCCTACACCGCCTCCTGGGGCGGCTTCTCCCTACTCCACCCTGTGTACCTTTCCCAGAATAGAGAACCTCAGGCCAAAGAGAGATGCCAGCCCCATTAATCACCTCTACTGTACCCCAATCATATTACGGAAAGTCAGACCCAGGAGACAGGATTCAACAGCCACACTCAGGGCAGATTCCCGTTTGCTGCCTCCAGCCCCTCATTCCCGCCTTAATTGTAGGGCTCTGCATTACAGCCGCATAATTCATGCCTTCCTAATTATGGCTGTCAACAGCCCCATTGTAAAGCTGGAAAATGTACAGCACCTGCTCTCCAGGAACCCTGTGCCAGGGATTGGTAGAGGGGAGTGCCAGGTGTGGATGGGGGCTTGCCAAAGGGTGCATTGATTGGCTTCTCAATCGCCTTGTCTGGCATTTATGCTTGATTCTGGGAGCAAGGACAATAGCCAAGAGGTCTCTTGCCGCCAGGTATTCGGGGACAGAAAGGGGAAGAGAGGGTTGGGGTATAGGAAAGTTAGGGGTTTCCTGTGTGCTCTTGCTACTGCTTGCAAGATCTCACCTCTCCCCTAGAGGGAGCTGCTAGGGAAACGGCTTGCAGAAAGTAAAATGGGAAGTCTGGCACAGTGGCTCATGCCTGTAATTCCAGCACTTTGGGAGGGTGAGGCCAGCGGATCACCTGAGGTCATGAGTTCGAGACCAGCCCGGATAGGGTGAGGCTCTGTCTCAAAAAGTAAAAGTAAAATGGACTTTACTAAAGAGAGTAGCATTTGGTTGGTGTTACTGGCTGGTACTTGCCGGTGTGGGGCACCTGAAATGGAGTTGCTCAGGCAGACAGCTCTTCAAAGGCACTAATCCTCTCAGCAGCTCTGCAGCAAGTCCTGGCACAGGGAGGTAAGGAAAAGGACACAGCTTTGACCCTCACAAGCAGAGGACCTAGAACAAGCTTTGCCATGCCAAGAATAAATCGGGAGCCAGATCAAAAAGCTGAGAGAAACCTCGAAGAGTGGAGTGGGAATCAGAGTTTGAGATGGTGAGGGCAGGGAGCAGAGTCAGTTGAGAGAAGTGTTTGGTTCTGCTCAGTCCTGTTGTCTTACAGGGGAGAAGGCCTGTGCTGGATTCGATTCACCAGGGCCTACAGGCCCTTCTCTTACCCTATACCATGGAAGGGGCCAGTCTCACTTGGGAGTGGAGCCTGGCCCCATGCCCTGCAAGAGGAGGAGAAAAGCTTGTGTGGGCTGAGTCGACAATAGGTAATTGGATTGTAATCGCCTGCCTGGCTTCCGCACACCATTGGGGGTGCTGAGTCTTTCAGTGAGCAATCAGTACTGCGTGGTGGGAGGGGGGTAGAGATTCAATAGCAAATCCCAGGTGGAGAGCCAAGGGGGAGGAGCAGCAGATGGGCAAATTTTCTGTCTCTCCCACCCCTTTTTTTCCTTACCCAAATAACTGGCTGCCTATTAGTTATATACTAGCAGATCCAAGGTAGAGCCAAATCTTTTGTGGAAGCTGGGTGGAAGGCTAAAATGGATGGGTAAAGAGCTAGGGTTTTGGGGAGAACTCTTCCCTGAAATTCTGTGTTGAAGGATGTGCTGGTGGAAAAAGAAAGTGCATCTAAGAGACAGGCAGCTGATAAGTTGGGGCCCTTTGTCTCCAAACCCTATTGGTGACCAGACCTGGGTTTAGTGTACTCGTGGGAGACTTTCACCCTCAATCCTCCCCAGGAGCCTGTCCCAGGCATCCCAAAGGTATCTATGGCCAGCAGACCTGGCCTGTGGGGGCGCTCCCCAGCCAAGCAAAGGGAACACAATTCATTATCAGGAAAGGAGATGCCTTTCACCAAGAAAAGGAAGGGGAGTGGGGCCCTGGAGGCAGAGGGCAGGGCAAAGTGGCAGGTGACCAGCCCCACTCAGGCTGATGCAGTGCCCAGACGGGCCAGCCAGTCAGCTCGCTTGAGTTCCAAGGCCTGCAGGAAGCCTTGGACTCGCTCTTCCCGTCTGGCCGAGAGCTTGTGCAAGCGTGTCCTTCGGAGCTGGGCGTCCCCACTGGCTTGGAGCCCCTCTCGCAGCAGCTGTTCTGTCACTGTAGCCTGGTCCCTCTCCAGCTGCTGCCTCTTCCGCTCCTCTGCATACATGTCTCGGGCCTTCTGCTAGAGAAAAGTGGGGATTGGGGTGGGGAGATCATTTTTAGGAGTGGGTGAAACTGGGATGGAGGAGGTAGGGGGTGGGGCACAGGGTGGGCCAAGTGAAGTGGAACAGTGGAAAGTAGGTACCAGATTTGAAAAGGCTTGGGAGTAGGTATGCAGTGGGTGGTGCTCATGTTGTACAGGCAGGGCAGTGGTAGTTCTGGGTCCATCTTGGTTTGTTTTGTGTGGAAGCATCTGTACTTCTTGAAGTTTTTCTCATGCACTTGGAAGGGAACCAAGCAAATGTGGGTCTGACTTCTGATTTCCCCATCAACTGGCTTTGTGGCTTTGGGCAAATCCTGTCCTAACCTCATTTCTTCATCTGTAAAGTGGGGGTTGTGCCTACCTTGAAGAGTGGTTTTAAGGATTAGAGATAATATATGCAAAATCCTCTCTAGGATATTAGCAGGCTCTTAGAAACAGCATTTTTACAAGTTGTTATTGCCTATTCTCTGCTGCAAGAAAGGTCCTATTCTTGTTGGGGACATGTCCATTGGGTCACTTTCTTTGATCTCCCCAGGTTTTCCTCTGAGGGCACCATTCTCCCAACTCCCTAGGCTATTTGTCAGAGCTCCACACTTGCCTCCTGTATGAAGACCAGCCTGATCCTTCCAGCAAATGACCCTCCTATGAACATTCTGAGAAGCAGGTTCAACTCTCTTAAGCCACTTATTGCATTCTGCATAGTAGAATAAGTGTTAGTGTTCATAGTCTACTCTTTCTCTTAGAAAATAAGCCCTTGGAGGTTTGAGAGCCTCCAGGCCTCTTGGAACCAGCTCTGACACCAGATGATGATCATAATCCCTGGCAGTAGTTATCATCCCAAGTACTAGAGGGCAGAGACTGGGCTTCTTCCTCTCTAGCACTTGGGGTGCCCTGTACATGTGAAACACTCAACTGACTGACCACGTGATCCCAGGAGAGCAGTGAGGATGCTCCTGATACAGGAGAGTGGAAAATCCCTTTGGAGCAGAACCAAGGCTTTCCTGTGCCTCACTGATCTTCTCTGTTCCTGCCAGTCTAACTGACCTGCAAAGCTTTTGCACCAGAGCTCCTCCTGCCAAATATATTCCATGTGTGAGAAACTCTATTTTCCTATGGTATCCTATACCCTGATGACCCTTCCCACATTCTACCTTGTATTACGGTAAACTTGTATACATGTTTTTGTCCTAATCAGCCTGTAAGCACCTTGACTGCTCTGTCTTCACAAAGAATATCTTACATGTGCACAACCACTTCATCTGTTGCCTCACTTGACCCTCACAATGGAGCTGTGAGGGAGGTACTTTCTGCTGGAGACAGACATGGAGCAGGGAACTGATTTGCTGTCTCTCAGCAATAAAGGTTTACTGCATGGATAAGGATGACAAATGAGAATTCTGGACTATCCCCCCTGGCTCCTGAATAATTCCAGGCATTCAAGGGTACTTCTCTTCTGCTATTATAATGAATTACATGTGGAGCTATGAAGACTTTGGGCTTGAACAGCTGCCGCTAGAGCTCTCCATCTTGCTGGAAGGGCTTCTTGCAGGCCTTGGTCAGGAGGCTCCCTGGGTGCTACATACAGGATTTTTTTGAGGATATGGAGATGCGCAGGACACAATCCCAGCAATCCAGGTGCTTACAGGCTGATTATACAGCCATGCACACAGAGTGCCATAATACAAAATAGGATGTGGTAAGGTTCATGCAAGTTCAGAGGAGAAAGCAAGTGTGGCTGATGAACATCACGGAGCAGTGACCTTCATGGACAGAATTTGAGCTGGCCCTTTAACCCATGAGGAGGATTCAAACAGAGGTGAGGTGTATGGGGGGCAGGGAGAATATTCCAGCAGTGGGAGTAATGAGCAAATATGCATGGAACTGAAGAGCCTGCTCAGGCCAGAGTAAGTCCACCTGGAGCAGTGGGGTTTGAGAATTTCCTGTCTAAGGCCTCCCTTACCTCTCTAAGGCTATTTCTTATTCTGTAAAACTGGGATAAGAGTACCCACCTCACTGGGTTGTTTGAGGAAAAATGAGATAATGAATTTCCAGCCTACTGCTTGGCTATTAACTGTTAGCTGTTCTATCACCACCATTTGTGCACTGGGTTAAGTAGTCTAAGTTCTGGCAGAACAGAAAGGATGGGGCGCACTCAGCAACAGAGGGAGGAAATATGGAGCTAGCTAAAGCCACTTCATGAGGCGCAAGCAAGGATGGGGGGCACTCAACAACAGAGGGAGGAAATACAGAGCTAGCTAAAGCCACTTCATGAGGCGCAAGCTTCTTCCAGATGGCGTCAGAGTGTGTGCCAGCAATGGGGGCTGTAGCCCAGGGGGCTGTAGCTAATTCCTATCTGAGAGGAATCAGCAGTTCATTGTTCAGATAGCAGAGTTGGGAGGGTGCCTACTCGTCATTTTACAGAAAATGACAGCAAGGCTGAGATGGCTGAAGTTCCCTTGGCTTCTCCACTAAGGTAATTTCTTGAGAGTACAGTGTGAAGTCTATCTTGTGCCTGTGTATAAGCTTTACTTTCTAGGGGTGGAAAAGCTGGTGACCTGTATCTGGATACCTGTCTATCCAGCTTCCACATGGTCTGGATCTACCCTTTCAATCTCAGAGATGTTTCCGGTTCTTCTCAAGTACTTGCCCTTGGGAAATCCAAGCTAACAGAAGTCCTAGAGGTCAACTTTTCTCTCCCTGACCATTTGTCTCCTCTCTTTGTATAATGACCAATCGGGGTAAGTGAGGGCATTAATTCTTTCCTTAGAGACTTTTTGTACAGACTTTATCCAATCTTGGTGCAAGGGCTCCAAGAAGCTCACTTTGAGAAATATGATTCTAACCTGTGAATCTAAATCCTCCTGGGCATTATCCCTCTGTGCTCTTATTCTCTCCTTGGTAGAATCAGAGAACAAGATGTAATAGTCCCTCCAGTACTTAAATCTAAAAGTCCTCCACCACTCTGCGGGCACCTGGAGAGAGGCTGGAGGTCCTTGGCTTTAAAACATTAGCCAGTGAAAAGTCCTTCCCCAAGCTGCAACCAGCTAGCCCAGGTTAGCAGCATGAGGAATGCATTTCTGAGGGCTGCCCTCAGGCAGAGAAGGACACCTCCTACCAGAAACATGATATTCTGAAGCACCCTCAGAGTCTCCTTGCCTGGGGAGTTGTACTGGGGACAGGATGTGCAGGGTGCTTTTTCAGAGATAGAAGTCTGAGGAAAGGCCCAGAGACACACATGTGGGGAACAATATTGGCCACTATTCTTGAAAAATGAACTCTGTTCCAGGCACTGCACTCAGCACTTGATATGTGTTAGCTTACTGAATCCCTATCACCTCCAAGGTATGTATTACTGTAAACACCACTTCTCTCATTTTACAGGTGAGGAAAATGATGCACTGAGGGGGTTAAGTAACTGTACAGTCACATAGCTATGTAGGCAGTGCCAATATTCAAAGTCATGAACGTCTGAGACATTAACTCAAGCTTTTAGGCCAAGGCAGGAGGCTCGCTTGAGCCCAAGTGCTGGGCAACATGGCGAGACCCCATTTCCACATACATGCATATATGCATACATACATACATACATAACTCAAGCTTTTATCCTAAGACAGTGACAACCTGAAGAGCACAAGAACTATAATGTTCAGTCCAGCTTGTTTAAATTGTGACAAATGTACTACAGGAAGCTTCGTGGGAACATGTGTCTTTTCCCTTTCTAATATCATCCTTGGAGATGAGGTGAACAAACACTTTTTACTCATCTCCATCAATGACCTCTCAAGGACCTACCATCCATGCAACTTGTGATTGAGGATCAGCTGCTCTGCACTCCACACACCCCCTCCCTGGCCTGATTCCCTATTTGTCCCTGCCTCCTTGCTGACAAGTCCTACTGCATCATAGTCAAGATCTCCCTTTGCCAGCCTTTAAGACTGGTTAGGTGGCCAGGCGTGGTGGCTCACACCTGTAATCCCAGCACTTTGGGAGGCTGAGGCGGGCAGATCACCTGAGGTCAGGAGTTTGAGACCAGACTGGCCAACATGGCAAAACCCTGTCTCTACTAAAAATATAAAAATTAGCCGGGAGTGGTGGCATGTGCCTGTAATCCCAGCTACTGGGGAGGCTGAGGCAGGAGAATTGCTTGAACCTGGGAGGTGGAGGTTGCAGTGAGCTCAGATCATGCCACTGCACTCCAGCCCCATTTCAAAAAAGAAAAAGAAAGAAAGAAAAAAAAAAAAAAAGACTGGCTAGGTGACCACCTGGAGACTGTCATGGTCCATTCAGATACCAAGGTCTGGCTCCCAACAACTTGTAGCCAAGTCCCTGCTTCCCTTACGATCCACCAGCTGTCTTCCTCCTATTAAGCGACTCCAGGTCCAGAGCCTAGCCCCTTGCCCTGGCTTCCTGCAGAGAATAGGGACACATTGGGCAGGGCCTAGAGACAGAGCAGCTCAGATTTTGACAATGGGAATTTGGGTGATTGGGCAAGAGCACAGACATACAGGTAGGAAACTGGAGGGCATGGAACAAGTAACTGGGAAGAGTCCAGTTTGGTCACACTACAGAGTCTGTAAAAGGGAGACATGAGAAAAGCCTGGAAAGACCTTTCTGGTCTGAAAACAAACTGGTGAGGATGCCATTAGTCTGGATTCTCCCCTTAGTATGTCTGCCAAGGTGATACAATCTCTAGAAACAGAGCTTTGAAGCCTCTGGGGTAGAGAAAGCCTAGCCAGGACCTCCAAGGGCTCCTGCTGGAGAAGGCTTCAAGATAATCAATATCTCTATTATAACTTTGGTTTCCTTGTTCTAAAAACAGAGGCAATAATCATAGTATCTGCCTTAAAGCAGTTCATAGAATTTACTGAAAGGATGCCTGACATGTGGTAAGAGCTCAATAAAAGTTTGCAAATATAGGACAGGCGCAGTGGCTCATGCCTGTAATCCTAGTACTTTTGGAGGCCAAGGCGGGTGGATCACCTGAGGTCAGGATTTTGAGACCAGCCTGGCCAACATGGTGAAACCCTGTTTCTACTAAGTCTGAGTGTGGCAGCATGTGCCTGTAGTCCCAGCTACATAGGAGGCAGAGGTTGCAGTGAGCCAAGATTGTGCCACTGTGCTCCAGCGACAAAGCGAGATTCCGTCTCAAAAAAAAAAAAAAAAAAAAAAAAGGTTTGCAGATATGATCCATAGGTAAAAATGGAACACTTAATAGTTGACCTCAAACACTTCCCACCCCATCCCAGGAAACAGCAGAACAATTGCTATGGCCACAACCTATGTGTCTTGGTTCCTAAAAATATTATTTGTACTTATTTGTTTTAGCCTACAAGAAACAAGAGTTTCAGGCTGGGTGCGGTGGTTCACGCCTGTAATCCCAGCACTTTGGGAGGTCGAGGCTGGCGGATCACCTGAGGTCGGGGGTTTGAGACCAGCCTGACCAACATGGAGAAACCCCATCTCTACTAAAAATATAAAACTAGCCAGGTGTGGTGGCGCATGCCTGTAATGCCAGCCACTCGGGAGGCTGAGGCAGGAGAATCGCTTGAACCCGGGAGGCGGAGGTTGCAGTGAGCCGAGATCGCGCCATTGCATTCCAGCCTGGGCAACAAGAGCGAAACTCCGTTTCTAAAATAAAGAAACAAGAGTTTCATAATTACATTATCAACATTGCCACTAACAATAAACCTCTTAAGTAATGTTTAAGTTTGTGTTGCAGTTTGTATTATCCTGAGAAGAAATTCCACTAAAGATGAATAGCAGAGAACTGTGTTCAGGTAAGCTGAATTAATTCCTTTCTCTGGGGAGTTATGTTATCACCTTGATATAGTTAGTTTCACTTGTTTCTATTTCAACGTTTGTTTTTATCCCATCTTCACTCCTCCCCGTCCTTACTGCCACCACCCTACCTCGAGGCACATCCTCTCTCACCTGGACTACTGCAGGAGTTCTGTCTCTTGGCTTTAACTCCAGCCCCTTGAAAATTCTGAATGATTTTTACAAAATGCAACTCAGATCCTGTCATCCCCTGATTAAAGTCCTTCAGCTTTGTTACCATGACCTACAAGGCTCTATATTAGCCAAGGTCTGACTCTAGTCTCATTTCATGCCCTTCTCCCTTGGCACACTGACCTCCTTTTTGTTCTTCTAAGACCCGAACTTTAACCTCAGTCTCTTTGCATTCTCTTCATTACTTTCTAGCACATCTCTCTGTATTCTTCACTGCCTTATTACAATTGGAACTTATATATTTGTTTACTTGTTTATTTCTGTCTCCTCAAGAATACAAGTTCCACAAAGGTAGAGATCTTGTCCGTCTGGCTAACTATTGACTCTCCTGTGCCTAACACAGTGCCTGATTCATACTACTCAATAAATACTTATCGAATAAATGAAACTTGAGTTAACTCCTCTGACAACCATGTGCAAAGTATCTGAGAAATGTGAAATTACTATAAAAAACATCTGAGCAGCCCAAGTAGAGATAAAAACACAAAAACTCATGCACCAAGCTCCTCTGGGCTTCATGCAGAGCCAATTCACTCTCATTTTATATACATAATTCCAACAAGCTTGACTAACTGGTTTCCTTGTCTATAGCCGATTTAAAACAGTAAATACTATGGAAGAGGAGAGATACTGTCAAAATTAACTGTTGACAGCAGTAGGAAATTAAAGAGGGAGGACACAGAAAAATATACATGAAATCTCAAACCCAGGTATTCTGGGACCATCTAACTTAGAGCAAACAGCCTTACCCCTCAAGGATATTGTTGTACAGTGAAGTATTTAAAGATAATTATTATTATCATAATAATCAGAATATGACAGCCAGGCATGGTGGCTCATGTCTATAATCCTAGCACTTGGGGAGGCCGAAGCAGGAGGATCACTTGAGCTTAAGTGTTCAAGACCAGCCTGGGCAACATAGTGAGAACTTATCTCTACAAAAAATACAAAAATTAGCCAGGCATGATGGTGTGTGCCCATAGTCCTAGCTACTCAGGAGGCTGCAGTAAGCAAAAGTTGCACAACTGCACTTCAGCCTGGGCAACAGAGTGAGACCCTGTTTGTAAAAAACAATAAAAAATAGAATGTGATTATCCTAATCATCATCATTATTAGCAAGTGCCTGGTATATGGATGTCAATGAATTATGTACAAGAGACATTTTAGAAATTTTTCCATCAAAAAAGGAGAAAGTTTTAGTTTTTAGAGGGATCTTTGGTCATATGGAAATATCTGATATTCATTCCCCACTGGCAGTAGATAATTGTGCTTTTGCTGTTTTTCTTTTCACTAATTCTAAACTTCTTTCAATTTCCTCATATTCTGAGACTAAGTAATTAAATACATGATCAAGTCTTTGTGATTTGATTGACTTATACCAGGAGTTATGGACTTGGGATTCAGGGGCAGATTTCAGCAGTTATGTGAACCCCTTTAAAGTATTCTATGTGTGGCCAGGCATGGCGGCTCCTGCCTGTAATCCCATCACTTTGGGAAGCCAAGGTGGGCGGAGCATCTGAGGTAAGGAGTTTGAGACCAGCCTGACTAACATGGAGAAACCCCATCTCTACTAAGAATACATCTCTACTAAAAATACGGGAGTGGTGGCACATGCCTGTAATCCCAGCTACTCGGGAGGCTGAGGCAGGAGAATCACTTGAACCTGGGAGGTGGAGGTTGCGTTGAGCCAAGATCGCACCACTGCACTCTAGCCTTGGCCACAAGAGTGAAACTCCATCTCAAAAAAAAAAAAAAGAAAAAGAAAAAGTATTCTATGTGTTTCCATGATAAGTTTACAATTCTATACAAAATTCCACATTTGAGTGATCTGTAATTTTTCTAAGGAGATGGTCTGTGGCTTTCATTAGACTCTCCAAAGGGACCCCAATCCTAAGGAGATTAAGAATCCCTGACTCACATCATTATTTCCTTCCGGCATTATCTCTCCAGACTCAAGAAGCAGCACCAGCTTTGATTTTAAAATTCAGGTTCCTTAGGATGGACGCGGTGGCTCACACCTGTAATCCCAGCACTTTGGGAGGCCGAGGTGGGTGGATCACCTTGAAGTCAGGAGTTTGAGACCAGCCTGGCCAACATGGTGAAACGCTGTCTCTACTGAAAATACAAAAATTAGCCAGGCATGGTAGCGCGTGCCTGTAATCCCAGCTAGTTGGGAGGCTGAGGCAGGAGAATCGTTTGAACCTGGGAGGGGGAGGTTGCAGTGAGCCCAGATCACGCCACTATACTCCAGCCTGGGCAACAAGAGCAAAACTCCATCTCAAAATAAATAAATAAGATAAAATAAAATTCAGATTCCTTGGGACAGTTACTTAAGTCTCTCTGTCCCTCTGGTTCCATATATGAAAAATGAGGACACCAAACTTGCTGGGTTGTTAGGTTAAATAAGAAAACTTACTTTACACCTAAGTGCCCTTGTAGATCCTCAATATGTTAGCTACCACTACCATTATTATAAAGAGACCTAAGCATATACAGGTGACTCTACCTGCTAATAAAACCTGTTTCAAGATTTGGTGATGAAAACTGAAAGTCAAACTTCAAGTCTTGACACAACATAGTTTTACACAATGGAAAGACAATGCTATTTAGTTCTTAATCCCTACTGCTACAATCTTTTATTAGGGTAATACTTTAAAGGAATAATGCCCAATTTCTCTGAGAAGCCTTTTCCTCCTGAGTCTTTAAAAGATAAAAGACCCGTAGCTTAAATCCTATTCCAACCTCTTACTGATTATGTGTCCTTAACTAAATCATTTCTATTTGCTTACTTACATAAGGGATAGGGCTAATAAGAGTTCTCTCATTGGGTTCTTGGGAACATTAAATGAGACGCAGCATGTAAAATGTTCGCAGTGCCTGACAAGTAGTAGATACTAAGTAGGTGGTAGCTACTATCATCATTATCATCATCTTATTAGGAAGTGCCTGGTATATAGTAAGGTGGTTGTCAATCAGTGCGAACTAATCTTTTCTTCCATCCCATCCCATCTGGCCAGCCCTGAACTCTTTCTTACCTGAAGCACGCTATGGTTCATCTGGAACTGCAGGATGGCCTCGAAGAGGTTCCAAAATGTATACTCTGGCCACAGAACAGGTTGGAACACCAGGCAGGAGTGAGAGGTCTGGGAAAGGAAGGGAGGAGAGTATGATTTAGTAACATGTTGCTGGGCTGCACCCCTGGTCAGTCCTCCAAGGAAAAAGCAGGCTAAGCAGGACCCAGAAGCCCTGAGATGAGAATGGTACAGGCATCCTGAGCTGTAGCTGCAGCTGCTGCTGGCCCTGATTCACTCACTAGTAGGGGGAGGAGTCATTTGAGGCAGCCAGATCACCTGCCTGTGGCAAAGCAGAACTAAAACGAGACTAGATCAACATTTCCACCAGGATTTTTCTAAGAGCCAATTTTAGGACTATGAAATAACATCTGGATTATGTTATTGGCTCTTGGCCCTTAGAGGGCATCTGGAAGACATACTGTCTGATAAAGGTCAGCAAGGAACAAATGGTAGCTGCCACTGTTATTTTTAAGTAGCAGCAGCAGGGCACAGTGGTTGAGAGCATAGGCTCTGGAGCTAGACTGCCTGGCTTTGAATTTTGGCTCCAACCATTTACCATTTATTCGAGCAGGGGTAATTTCACCTGGGCCTGAGATTCCTCAAATGTAAAACTGGATAATAGAAATACCTAATTTTTGGGTACTGTTTAGATTAAATGAGATAACATATGTATAGCAAAGAGCCAGGTGTACTTTAATAATAATCACTGATGAAGAATCCCTTTTGGAACACTCTTGACAGCCACTGCCTGATATCTCTAGTGGTGAGGAGTTCAGTACATCATGGGGGATTACTAGTTGTCAGATAGCCTGTTTGGCTTTTTATGCTAAACCAATGTCACCTTCCCTACAACTTCTACCAAGGTCCCAGGTATTTTTTCTGGAACAGGTTTGTTTCTTCTTCAAAGTGACATTCTTTCAAATATTTCAAGGCTAGATTAGAGCTGCCTGTTATCAGTTCCCAAAGTTGTAATGACTTGTTCAGAGTTTGTCTTTGCTAGCAAACTATAAGTTTCAAGACAGTAGGGATCATTTCTGACTCGGTCACTGCTATATTTCCAGCATATAGAAGGAACTCAGCATTTTTTTCCAAGGGAATACATTTGTCACTTACTTCCCTTTTCCAGACCACTATCCTTTCCTCATTTTTTATAAGACATGAGATTCCTTGCTTTCCAGTTTGGCCTCTTCCAGTAAGTCCTCAAGTTTTTCAATGTAACTAATCTGTACACTGAGTAACTGACTCTGTAGTCTCTTAAAATTCAGCCCATCTGTAAACTTCCCAAACGTGATCTGAGCAGCACAGTGGGCCACAGAACCAATAGGTGCACATTGTACTTTTTTTTTTCAGACAGAGTCTCACTCTGTTGCCCAGGCTGGAGTGCAGTGGCACGATCTCGCCTCACTGCAACCTCCGCCTCCTGGATTCAAGTGATTCTCCCACCTCAGCCACCTAAGTAGCAGGGACTACAGGCACCTGCCACCATGCCGGGCTAATTTTTGTATTTTTAGTAGAGACAGGGGTGTTCACCATGTTGGCTGGACTGGTGTCAAACTCCTGACCTCAAGTGATCCGCCTGCCTCAGCCTCCCAAAGTGCTGGGATTACAGGCGTGAGCCACCACGCCCCGCGTTAGCTCGTTTTTAAGATTGTAGTCCATTAAAATTTCTGGAGCTTTATCATGTGAGCTGCTTCCAAATACAGTCTCTCCCTCCAACCTATCCTAGAACAAGGACTTCCCCTAGTTTTGTGCTAACCAGGGACCAAGTTAACAGGGGATGGAAACTTGAGTGTTTGCATATTGTTTATATCCCTCATGGACCATGTTTGCATAGGTATGGCCCTTTATCCTGAAGAGGAGGGACTAGTAACTGCAAGGCAAGCTTCTAACCCAGAGGGGCTAGGGTCCCTGGCAGGTTACCAAGGCAAGAGCTTAATCTCAGGGATGCAAGACAGAAGTCCCATTCCTTGAATAGGGGCACAATGAAGTTTTCACTACAGTTGGATTTGCAAAGCCAGCGACAGATGAGGAATGGACATCAAATATTATCAGACACAGCCTAGAGATGCTTCTCCAGATTTTAGCTTTCCCCTGAAGTACTCTGGCCCCAGCCTGTCTGGGAGTGGGGATGGACCACTCTAATCCATTCTGTGGATACAGTTGGTTTTCCCCATGACACAAACATAATAGTACTTGGAAATGACCAACCTGCCATAGCAAGAAGTCACTCAGCCGCACTTCTCCAGAAGTCCGTATCAAGATGTCAGGGTGAGGAGAGCGGTTGGTATAGAGGCACTTATCAAGCAGAGACTCAGAGATATCACTAAGGTGAGCAAGAGGAGACACAGAGAGGCACACATCCTGTAGTATTCTCTTTCTGTAGTATTCTCATGGTGAACTTCCATACATAGGCTTCCCAGTTTATACAATACTATCAAATATACTAGCCAATACTACGTGATACACAGAAGGCCCTCAACAAAGGTTTGCTAAATTAATGAATGAATTTAAATCTTCACAACTACATAAGGTATTTCATTTCTTTTTTAAGAAAATACAATGTAAAATTCTTTCTTTTCTCTCTCTTTTTAAATTTTCTGCCTTTTTCCACCTGTTCTGATACATAAGGTATTTCTTTTTTTTTTTGAGACAGAGTCTCACAGTGTTCCCCAGACTGAAGTGCAGTCGCACGATCTTGCCTCACTGCAAGCACCGCCTCCTGGGTTCACGCCATTCTCCTGCCTCAGCCTCCCAAGTAGCTGGGCCTATAGGCACCCAGCTAATTTTTTTTTTTTTTTTTTTGTATTTTTAGTAGAGACAAGGTTTCACCGTGTTAGCCAGGATGGTCTCAATCTCCTGACCTAGTGATCTGCCTGCCTCGGCCTCCAAAAGTGCTGGAATTACAGGCGTGAGCCACCACGCTCAGCAGATACATAAGGTATTTCTATCCTCATTTTATAGATAAGGAAACTGAGGCTCAAAGATGAATAATTTGCTGAAAGTCATTTAGCCTCAGGCCCAAAACCAGATGCACCCACAAGAATATCTGTTGTCTTTTGCTTAAAACATCTTGTTTTTTAAGATACATATATCCTGTGACCCAGTATTTGATGAAATACTATGCAACTGCATTCTAAAAATAAAGATAATCGAAATGCACTGATTTGGAAAGATGTCCAAAATCTAATGTTAAATGTAAAAGGCAAGTTTCAGAAAATATATAGTATAAAACACACATACACACACATTCAAACATTCACACATGCATATAAGTACACATAAACAAAGAACAAAGTCCAAAAAGACACATCATACTATTAACAGTGGATTGGATAAGGAAGAAAAGACTCTCTTTTTACTTTATGCACTTCTGTTATTGTTTGAATTTGTGTAAATACCTTTTTTGGCCAGGCGTGGTGACTCATGCCTGTAATCCCGGTACTTTGGGAGGCTGAGGCAGGCAGATCACCTGTAATCAGGAGTTCAAGACCAGCCTGGCCAACAAGGTGAAACCCCATCTCTGCCAAAAGTACAAAAATTAGCCAGGTGTGGTGGCGTATGCCTGTAGTCCCAGCTACTTGGGAGGCTGAAGCAGGAGAATCACTGGAACCTGGGAGGTGGAGGTTGCAGTAAGCCCAGATTATGCCACTGAACTCCAGTCTGAGTGACAGAGCAAGGCTCTGTCTCAAAACACAAAAACACAAAACATTTTTTTTTCCAGACAGTGTCTCCCTCTGTTGCCCAGACTGGAGTGCAGTGGTGTGATCTCAGCTCACTGCTACCTCCACCTTCCATGCTCAAGCAATCCTCCCACCTCAGCTTCCCAGGTAGCTGGGACCACAGGTGTGCAACACCATGCTCAGCTAATTTATTTTTAAAACCTTAGTTAAGTCATATGGACCCCGAAACATTGCAAAAATTCCATATTACTCAGGATTTTAAATAAACAACAATATGATCAGTTCTCCTGTGTTTGATAAGAGCTACTTTCCCAAGCACACAGATGGTCAGAAAGGAGACAGAATTGAAGAAAACTGGTGACTGAAAGCATTTATCTGAAGTAAAAGTATCCTGTCCACAGAAAGAGGGCATGGCTGGTGTCTATTGGCTCCACGAATGCTGTTTACCTGTCCTACCAACTACCCAGAAGCAGAATTCAGAATGTCCAGGTAGTTAAGAGTTGCATCTTGGAAAGGGTCCAGAAGACAAAATTTCTTGGTGGGAACATGCTTCTGGATGCATGGTCAGGAAAGCAGAAAGATCTGGGCTGAGTGTTCAAAACCAGACTCTACACTTACTAGTTGTGTGTCTTTAGGCAAGTTATTCATCTCTTTTTTTTTTGGAGATAGAGTCTTGCTCTGTCACCCAGGCTGGAGTGCAGTGGTGCAATCTCGGCTCACTGCAACCTCCACCTCTTGGGTTCAAGTGATTCTCTTGCCTCAGCCTCCCAAGTGGCTGGGACTACAGGCAGCCACCACCATGCCCAGCTAATTTTTGTACTTTTAGTAAAGACAGGGTTTCACCATGTTGGCCAGGCTGGTCTTGAACTCCTGACCTCAAGTGATCTGCCTGCCTCGGCCTCCCAAAGTGCTGGGATTACAGGTGTGAGCCACTGCACCTGACCAAGTTACTCGGTCTCTCAGTCCTCTTAAGGCAAACCACAGAGACAGCTTTATTTTCCTTATCATCATCACAGAAGAAACAGTATTCACTTATAATTGAACAATAAGAAGGGCTCTGGTTCACATTTCTCTGGTAATCTGATAGTCTTGTCTTGGCAGCATGGTCTTAATTCTCCAAGTTATGTAAGACCCTGTACAATCCATATAATTTCTCATTCTCTTATCTTTAAAATGGGCCCATTTGCTCTTTCCCTAAGCGGCCTGAGGTAATCTGTGAAAATGGTTCGCTATTCACTTAACCCGGAGAAACCCATGATATCATGCAAATCAAGAGGGCCAATCTTCGTGTTCACTTTAAGAACACTTGTGAAACTGCAGGCCATCAAGGGTATGCATATATGAAAAGCCACGAAGTATCTGAAAGATGTCACTTTACAAAAACAGTGCGTACCAGTCCGACGTTACAATGGTGGAGTTGGCAGGTGTGCCCAGGCCAAGCAGTGGGGCTGCACACAAGGTCGGTGGCCCAAAAAGAGTGCTGAATTTTTGTTGCACATGCTTAAAAATGCAGAGAGTAATGCTGAACTTAAGGGTTTAGATGTAGATTCTCTGGTCACTGAGCATATCCAAGTGAACAAAGCACCTAAGATGCGCCGCTGGACCTACAGAGCTCATGGTTGCATTAACCCATACATGAGCTCTCCTTGCCACATTGAGATGATCCTTACTGAAAAGGAACAGATTGTTCCTAAACCAGAAGAGGTTGCCCAGAAGAAAAAGATATCCCAGAAGAAACTGAAGAAACAAAACTTATGGCAGGGGAGTAAATTCAGCATTAAAATAAATGTAATTAAAAGGAAAAAAAAAAAAGGGCCCATTTGTCCTATCCACCTTATAGGTTATCACGAGGGTCAAATCAAATGAAATAATAGATTTGAGCACACTTTGGGAACTATAAAGTGCTATACAAATAATAATAATAATAAATTATTTTCAGTCCCACCAACTTGCAGTGTGACTTCAGAGACTCAGTATCTCTGAGTTTACAATTTATCTGCAAAGAGTTTCTTCTACCTACTTTAGGCAGTGGGCAGAATTCTCATGGAAAAAGCTGAGATTGTGCCAGTGCATTCCAGCCTGGGTGATACAGCAGACTCTGACTCCAAAAACAAAAAAAACAAAAAAGGGGGTAACTCTAAGGTGGATAGAAAGATGAAACTGACAAAATCAAAATGGAACATCTGTAGACTTTGGCCAACAAAAATCCATCACTAAATGGATTGGTGAGTTAAAGTTGTCTATGTGAAGACTTTTCAGAAATGATTTACATTAAATAATGGTAAAATATCCATTTTTATCTATGAGAATGGGTTTTTTTGTTTGTTTTGTTTTTTGAGACAGGATCTGGCTGTTAGCCAGGCTGGAGTGCAGTGATATGATCTTGGCTTACTGCAACCTCAGCTTCCTGGGCTCAAGTCATCCTTCCATCTCAGCCTCCCAAGTAGCTGTGACTACAGGTGCATACCACCACACCCAGCTAATTTTTGTACTTTTAGAGACGGGGGGTTCACCATTTTGCCTAGGCTGGTCTCGAAGTCATGAGCCAAGCGATCCAACCCGCCTCAGCCACCCAAAGTGCTGGATAACAGGTGTGAGCCACTGCACCTGATCGAAACAGTTTACATTTTAAAAATCTTGGCAAGAATAACGTGAAATGAGCACTTTCAAACTCAGATCCTGAGGAAACAATAAAAAATGCAGACAAGTTCAGTCAAATATTTAATTGTGGCATTATTTGTAATAATGAAATATTAGAAACTGCCTATATGCCCAACAAATAGAAGACTGGTTAAATAAATTAATGCAAGATATATTTTACAGCCATTATGAATAATGATATGAAGAATTATTAAAAACATGGGTCATGGAAAAGTACTCATAACACTGAATGAAAAAAGCATGAGTCAAAGTGTAAACTATTCATTATGTGACTTCATGTGTTGTAAATACTTATGTCAAAAGTGAATGTGTGTGTGTGTGTGTGTGTGTGTGTGTGTGTGTTTGAGACAGGGTTTCACTCTGTTGTTGAGGCTAGAGAGCAATGGCGCAACCACAGCTCATTGCAACCTCGACCTGCTGGGCTCAAGTAATCCTCCTCACTCGGCCTCCCAAGTAGCTACAGGCGTGTGCCAGCACACCCAGCTAACTGTTTTATTTTTGTAGAGACAGGGTCTTGCTGTGTTGCCAGGGCTGGTCTTAAACTCCAGGGCTCAAGCGATCTTCCTGCCTCAGCCTTCCAAAGTCCTGGGATTATAGGCATAAGCCACCATGCACATCTAATTTTTTCTTTTTTACTGCCTTATTGTTCATTTCAACTTTCCTATGAGGAAGTCAATATACCACAGTGAATGAGAACACAGGCTCTGAAGCTAGGTTGAAATCTTGGCCCCAAGGTTTGCCAACTATGTGAACTTGCACAAGTTATCCATGTCTCAGTATTCTCATCTTTAAAATGGGCATAAAAACAGTATATACCTTATAGGGTCTAAGGATAAATGTATGTGGAATACTTAATGCTTGGAACAGAGTAAATGCTCAGTAAGTGTTAGCAATTACTATTAACACTATTGTTTTATAAGAAAGACAGAGGCCTACAGGGAGTCAAGTAGCCCATTCAAGGTAATGGTGGAATAGAATTTAT